AATTTAATGTAGGAATCGACACTAACTGCTACACGCTGTAACTATTCTGGTTGTATTACAGTTTAATTTAGTTTTCCTTCTAAGGTTTAAAAAAAAAATAGATCTAGTTACAGTAACTATATAGTGAGAGAGACGGAGACAACGCCTAAGGAAGCTGGAGTTGTTTAGTTACCTTGTAACTTTGAAAGTCAACAAAGGAATGTTCTGATTTCTTGTCAAAACATGTCTAACAACAAGCCTGTAGCAACTGTTCGTCACTTCTAAAACAATATCGCCAAGATATATATTTGTAATAAATTGTTTCCTTTTTTTAAATTTCATCTTGATGCAATTTTTGTATGTAAAAATTTTTTGGACATAGATTAAGCGATGAAGAAAAATCTGAAAAACACTTTTCAAACGTTGTCTTAGATGTTGAATTACCACTCAAATTAAATTTGGGTTTTCTACGAATATATGTAATTCTTAAACTACTTTTTGTTTTTACGAATGGGATCAGTAACGTTGATACAAACTTTTACCCAATTTTAATTCTTTAGCGTACATAATTGTTTCATGAAGCTATATTCAGTTATTTTGCCTTGTTTCTGTTATGTATAAGTTTAACACGGTTATTTCAGTGAAGAAATTACTGCCTTGAGAGGTTGAGTAAGGCAATTTTAATATATATATAAAGAAACATAAATTTAATTACATGATACCAAATTTATACAAATTATCAATAGTTTATATATACTACATAAATAAAATATTATGTATTTAATGTTATATTTATAATTACTGTTGAAACCTACGAAATATATTTTTAAAATGTGTTTTTCAGCGAGTTATTTTTTTAAAATACATTTACATTAAATACACAGTAATACGAATCGAATACAGTAACAGTTGTCTCCATGTATTTGGCAGTTATGAGAGAATCACAAATTGATATATTCATGAGCTGCTGCTTCTACCATCAGTCAACTTGTACCAGAGATCTTCTACACACTCAAACGTTTATATTACTTTTAAACATTATAATACTTAAGGATAATAGGGTATTTAACGGTATATAGTAGAATGTAATTCTGAATATTTGTGCAAACAAAAAGTATTTAAATAATTACTTTAGCAACAATATGTATGTTTCTGAAAAAGTAGCTTATATTCTGGTTATTGAATATTCTTGTAATAGATTACTGTACTTAGTTCTTGGTGCAGTTTTCTTCCTATTATATATATATAAACCAATTATCCTATATATATACCTATAAACCTATATACCTATCATATATATATATATGTATGTTCTGATACTGATTCTGATTATGGTCCATTTGGGATAATTTTGGGGTTTTAGCCAGCTTAGGTTAGTTTTCTTTACAAATTGTTGTCTCATGCTACTATCAAGTATTGAAATTCGAGTTCATATCACAAAGTTCTTAACTAACAACAACTTTTAACTTTACAACTTTTATTTTATAACCTTCAGAAATGAATCAGATTTAAAATAATAATCAATAAAATACAGTAATAAAAATGTGGGTTTTAATGTTTACAACCCTTTTGGTGGACGGTGTTTGAATTGTTAAAATTTGTCTAATATTATATCGTGGCCCTCTTTACTAGCTGTGGGTTTTATATTTTCATTCTATTCCTAAATGTACCTAAATATACAAACTTATTTGCATAAGGACTTTGTCTATCATTCTCTAAATTCGAGCTCAAACTATAAGGGGCTATAATACAACTATTCAATCTATAATACAATACAGCCACCTAAATAATTCTTTATCAAAGCATTTTATGAAACGCACCAACATATAACTTCCGTTCCTCACTCCGCATTTATTCATAGGCAAAGTTTGCTAAGTGACTGCTTTTATTGGTGACTCGCCAACTTACAAACTAATTATCAAGTGATGAAACTCCATGAATTCATAATTCTTCATCAGATACTTTGCTAGCAGTAAATCTCGTTACATTTTTGTGAAAGAAGTTCTGTTGTTGAAGTTTTCTCTAAACTTTCATTACATTATGGTAAAGAAATCATCCAAACTGAAAAGTTGTTTGAAAATTGTAATACAAGTATTTATTTGACAACTGTGGTTTGAATCCTAGCATGAATTGTAACACGATATGCAATCTAGTTTTTACTTTACCAAATGTATATGTATCCATCTAGATAAATATAAACATTCGTCCGCTTTCTAAAAAAATTCTTTTACACCTTTAAATTGTTCAATTTTAGTACAACATTGCTTGGAGTAAAATCAATGTATATAATTGTTCTACTATTTGTATAAAAACAAAGCATGACTCGGAAATTAATGTTCAAAGTTGAATTAATTTAAGTTTGAATGAATGATCAAAGTTCATCTAAAAATAATGGTTTCGAAAAAATTTAATATTTGTTTAGTGTGAACAAATTTATCTAATTTTACCATTAATAGGTTTTACAAAAGATATTAACTTGATCACCTACTTTGTATGCTTAGATTCATTCACCACGCAAATAAAAAAATGTTTTACCTAGATAACAAAACATACCATCAACCCAACCTCTTTAATCTCGTTAGGTTTGCGTTTATCAATAACACTATTAGTATTCATCGTAATAAAAACTCGTACAAGTGGAAACTGACTGAATACATTATAAAGTCGTGCTAAGGGGTAAGCTACACTGAGTAACTAAGTAAACTGAAAACTAAGTAGAACAAGAATACAAACTAAGTAAGAGCTTGTTTGAATGAATAATTATACGAATCCAGTTACCCGTTCTATAGTTTGAATCACTTAATAACTTGCTGACTTTGTCAAGCATATTTAATATATGCACTCGTTTCAACTAGTTTATCTGCTGCACTTTAACAGTAAAATTCAAAACGTTTACCAGTATAGAAAAATAAATATATAAAAGTATATATACATTATATTTTTATTTTTTAGGTAGGATGCCTATGAGTTTTCTAAGATACACGGCAAATCTTCTATTAAGACTGTTACTTCGATTTTCACATGTTAGGAAGCCATGAACATTGAACATGTTCACAAATCCCAGTGGAACCATCGGTTCATTTCCAACGTTGTCAGAGACTGAACGCTCTTTATGGTCCACGGAGGATTGGGAAAGTCTCGGAAAACAGATACAGTTTTTTTCGTTACCAACCGAAAAAGCCATTAATTAACTGCAATAACCATTGAAGGGCTCACGTGAAGAAGGGGGAGAGGAAGATTTTGCAAAAATGACAGGAAATAATTTGTAAAGTTTCAAGATTAAAAACTGTAGTTATACTTTAAGTAATTTTTACTTTCAAAGCCATTTTTTTAAATTTACCATTTCTCAGGTTGTTATAGGTTATATAGGAAGTAAATCGTTGAAGTTAAGGATGAAAAGGAGGTATAAAATCAGTAAAAATGTAAAAACGTTGGGTTTATTATGAGTTTAGTTGTTGATTGTTTACATCAGGCCTACAAATCGTTTTACATTGCTTACAATTCACAATGATATTATTTATTGATTAAATGCGATTTAGTTTAACATTAAACTACAATAAAATGAGTTTTTTTTTAATGTTTGCCAAACGCCCTACACATCAAACTTATTATTCTTAGGGAGAAAGCAAAGTACACTTTTTAATTGGAGAGAATGGGATCATACATATAGGCTGTAAGCACACCAAGGTTATGACCGAACACAAACACCGTTTATTTTGTCTCGCTTTATTATTCCCCTGGGTTTTACCAAGACGTAACTACTTTCAGGCCTATCACCAGTTTACGAAAAAACAAAAACGCCAAAAATATTAACTCATAACATTCCTCTCCTAAGCCCTTCAAATACTTGCTTTCTTAAGGGTGTATTGTAAATTATATGTAGTATAAACTTCAGTTCATTCCTTAATGGGTTTAGAAACCTTCAAAGCATCTAACATACTTTTCAACCATTTAAAACAAAGTGGGTAGGGGTGGAAACATAATATTCCATATTAATATTTTTGCTTTTAATTAGGGCTATGAAAAGTGATGTTTCGGGTTAAATTACAATATGTGTAAAGATGTTGATAGAAAATAGTGCGGTACGGTCTGTGATTATATTCGTGTGGTTACATTTTGCAATAAGACGTAATTGGTTTTTTTATAATTTCTATTTTGATTGTATATTCTAGACATGTTTTTAGTAATGTGGTTTACGCTTTGACTGTTTCGTATAGACTAAGGAATGAATGAATAATCTCATTAGAAACATGGGTAATTAGGTAGTCAGTTAACATAATTAACATTTGTAACGCGAATTTAAAAATAATAAAACGCGGATAGTAAAACCCTAAATGTAACAAGTTTATCAGGTCAATTGTTCTTGTTAAAAGGCGATTAGATAATCATGAGACTTTTCAGAGATAAAATCGAACATATAAATTTAAATACATTGTTTATCTAGCTTCGCAACAATTCGTTAATACAATGTCTAAGTTTGTATTTAATAATTTTGTTATGAAGTAAGCGAAATTCGCATCATTATCAGTCTCAGCAGTAGCATTAATATTCAAGACTGAAAACTCCACGATAAGCTGGTACGTGCCACCGAGATCGACGGTTGTATTTCCTGTTGTCGCTTAAACGTTGTTATCTTATTTTGTTTAAAGATGAAGATTTTTTACCACCGGATAATCTAATTAAATCTAATATGTATATTATTTTCCTACCACTTTTTCATCTTACCCGCACGGTTTTTGTTTGATCTCCTTATATTCCTTTGGCTCCTTTCTGATTTTTCGTTTTCTACCTTCATTCTCCTTTTTCCCTTTATTTTCTCACTTACTCTCCCTCGTGTCAATCTTGTTTCTTCCTACCTCCCTCAAGATTCATAGCGCCCACTGGTTCCTCCCAGCATATTTTGGGTTCCCTTACTTTCTCTTTCAGGTTTCTCCTACCACTCCTCCGTCTCAGATTTATCCCTCGTTTATTATTTTCCTGTCGTACTAATGTACTTGATGCTGTTTCAGTGGCCAGTCCTCCAGAACGACCCCCTACCAAGGAGGACGCCCCTTCCCCGACTGGCGAGATGCCGTCCATCAATAGAAACGGACAACTCTCCAGTAAGTATTGCGAACTAAAAAAATATGTCCCTAATTGTATATTTTTACGAGTATTTTCAGATTTAATAAATACCCCCGCCGCAGCAAACCTGCAGACTAAGCGAATTTCAACTTGTCTGATTACATTTTTACTAAAATATTTCCATAAATAAGACATATTTATTCACTATTTAAATAACATTAGATTTAACGAGTGCTTAGGTTTGCTGCTACGGAGAAGGTAAAAAGTGTTTTTTGACCATACGTCAATAGTATAGGATGAAATAAATAAATTTGCCAAATTTTATCAATATATATCCATAAACAAGTAAACTACAACAATTTTCATTTTCTCCATAAGAATAACATGGGAATTTTAAATTACACTATTTTTGAATTTTCTCCGTGACCGTTAGGCATACAACAGCGCTTCAATATACTAAATTATTTCTTTTTTTAAGCTCTACAAAACGGTTTAGAAAGAAATTGCAACATTTTTTGTTTTTAGGGTCAAAAATGGGAAAACCCCATTTTTACCCCATAAAACCCCCCACAAACCCCCGTTCCCATGGTCCGATTATGCTGGATCGCGAACTCGTTCGAATAAACGTAGGTTTACACGTTTGTACCAAATTTCATCAAAATCGGATCATTTTTGCTCGAGTTATCGCGCTAACGGACACATATATATATATAAGTAGATATATTCATGTCACTTCTGGGCCAAAAAAGGAGCCACTCAAAAATTAAATGAATTTTCCTATTTTTTTATACAATATGCTATATTTTTTACCCTTTTAGGTCAATTTCTAACATATTCATATTTTTCTAGAAAAAGTATATAATTTTGATGAAATTTTCATGAATATATCTATATTTTACATAAAATTGACTACAAAACAAAATGTTTTTAAAGAAACAGTTCACTAAAAGTGGACTATTTTTTATCTTTTAAAGAAAATGTTCTCTAAAAGTGAACTATTTTATCTAAAGTGGTTTTATCGGAATCATATTTTGTTCAAGTGTTTTACTGATTAGTTGGAAAATGTGCACTTTTACTGAACTAAATCAAAGAAAAGTGAACTAATGTATGTTTTTATTAAACTATTTTACTGAAAAAATTATCAAAAAATTCTGAAACTTAAAAATTATGAATAATTATGTTAAAAATTAATGTTTTTACTAAAATTTTCCAATTTAGGGTGAACTACCCTTAAACTAAAAACCTTAATAACTTTTTTGTTTTTTAAGATATTTACATGAAATTTGGTATGATATATCTATAAGGTAAGTACAAATTTATTAAATAATAAAATTTAAAATATTCATTTCCTGTGACCTTGAAAATCAAAAATTTTTATTTATTAATATTTTTTTATGAAACAAATTTTAAATTAACAATAGTAGTCTCATTATTTATAAAATATAATAATATTTTGAAAAATATGTCAAAAAGTAGTAAATAAATGGTGGTTTTATAATAATTTTATTTGATTTCAGTTATATCATTTTTAATCACATTATACTCTAATAATCTTTCAGACACAACAACCACATAGCAATTAGTTTTACTAGCAACAGTTATATCATAATCAAAATCCATATTTATAATAATATCATTCTTTGAACCAGAAATATTAACAGGAGTTTTTGTTGTATCAATCACATACAATGGTCTATTTTCAATGAATTCTGTTGGATCATAATACATTTTACTATTATTATAATAAACCTTTTTATAATCTTGATACATTTGATATACAATTCTAAATTTTCCATTATTTATATCTAGATTTATTAATTCATCAGGATAATAGTGACCATTTAATTTTACTCTAATATTTTTAATATACATACTATCAAATTTTGAAGTGTCATATAATTGATCATTAGTTCTACCTTTTTGAAAACCAATTATTATAAATTTTGGATTATAGATGTTTCGATAAATATTTGTTATATCAAAACTAACTGTTTTTCCAGTTATTGTCTTTTGTTCAATACATTGCCAATGATTAAAGTGAAATAGTATTTTTTCTTTTTTAGTTATTTCATTAATATATTGAATTTTACTTGTAGTTTTATACTCAATTATTGGAACTCTAATAAAAAAGTCATCAATAATTATTTTTCCAGCACTTGGTAATGTAGTATCATCAAAAGTTCCATCAACTTTTTTAGTTTTCCATCTAAAAATAGCATCATTATCTTCAGATCTAACAAAACATATATTGAATCCTCCTTTGTATATTGGAACATTAACATTTTCAAAGAAACCTAATCCAAAATGTGATAGATTACCCACAGCTTCAAATGTTTTTTTGAAATCTGATTGAAATCCATTACAAATGTTGGATACTGCTTCTGTTTTTGAATAAGTAACAGTACCTTTTATTGTACTCAATTGTCCAGGATATTCAATTTCCTCAATTAATTTATTATGTTTTCTAATTTCAATTTTTGAAAATAAGAATGGTATAAAATTATTAATCAACTTTACATTATCTGTAGCACTATAGTCTTTATCATCAGATTTTTTTAATGATCCTGAAATATAAAATTGAAACTTAGATGAACAAAATCCATCACCAAAATCAATATTAAATTCAGTTTTTTTGTTTGGTTCATTCAAATGTAGTTTAGATAAAGGATAAAAATTTTTATATTCAGCTCTTTCAATTTCATAAGTATTAGCCATTTATTAAGGAAAAATTTATGAAAAAATATGGAAAGAAAAAGGTTTTTTAAAACAAGTAAAATTTTATTAATTTTGAATTTTAATCAACTGAAATCTATTTAATCAACTGAAAAATGTTTAATCAACAGTATCATAATCATTTTTATCTTTAAAATATTGAATTTCTTTAACATTATCAACAATAAATTTAGCAGATAAGTTTTGGTTTTCAATAAGTAATTCCCAATCCAACATATATTTGTATTCTTCAATAAAGTTTTGAGATAATGTTTGGTATTTACAAATCAAATCAATATGATCTTTTAACTGATAATTTATGTATTCAGTAATAATCTTTTCATTCAAAATTTGATATTTAGCAATTTTTTCCCAATTCAATTTATTTTGAAACAATCTAATCATCTCATCATTCAATTCATATTTTTCTGAAATAATATCCCAATCTTCATTGGTTAATAGAAATTGGTTTCTGATAATGAAATAATCAAATGAATTATATAGAGCCATTTATTAGGAGGAAATTTTTGTAAAACTACTTTTCTTTGAATTACATATACAACATTTTGCTTTAACCATATTTTTATTTTTTAATTTTATTGTTTGAATGTCTTTAGAATTGGTTTTTTGTTTACATTTAAGACAGTAAATAAACTCCATTTATATAGTAAAAATTATTAATCTTCTTGGTTTTCTGTATTAAGTTTATCTTCTAATATTTGTGCTAATCCAGCAGTTACTAATCTTATTTTTTCAGCAAGTTTATCTTCAAGTTGTTTTTCTAAATCTTCAACATACATTTTTAGATTAAATAATGAATTAACCAATTCATTTAAATCCTGTTTAGTTTTTGAATGATCATTACCAACCTTAATAATAGAATTTAAAACTTCATTTAACTCAGATTTTATAACAACATCATAATCATTAATACTTGGTTTTACATTAACAATTCTTCTAGAATTAATACTTAAATAATTTTTAGATAAACTAATAGCATTAACCAAATTATTAGTTTTCTTAATATGGTTTTTTAAATCCTTATTAATATCATTAAAAATGGAATTTAATTTTGAATTAATATAATCATTTTTTACTTCAATTAAATCTTTTTTCTGTCTACCAAATAGATCAAATATATTTAATGAATCCATATTTATTAAGAATTAATTTATTGATTATGTTATCAAATCTTGTATTTTTATTCAACTCATTTAATACAAAAACACACAAATGACCACATATAGGTGGATCATCATAATTTTGAATTTGTGAATCATTAAAAAATATATTGTCTTTTCCTAAATATTTAACAATTTCCTTAAAAGGTTTATTAACAATGTTTCCATAAGAATCAAAGTAATATTTAATTTTATCTTTTTTATAATAACATATCCAATGAGTTCCATTACCAGAAAATGAATCTAAATTGACTATACCACATTCAAATTTATTAACAGTTTTTGGAAGCATATCTCTCATAAAAACACCTCTAAAATTCTTAATATTTTGACATAATTTTTCTAAATCAGCTAAAGTCAATGGGTTGAAATTTTTTTCTTAACATATTTTAATGTTTTTTTCATCTAATCCAGATCCTTTTACATTAGCTAATTCTTGATCTAACCAATTTATAAATTCTCTAAATTTTGGAATAACATTGTCTTTTACTACTTTAGCTCCTCTTCTAACTTTTGGTGTTAAACTATTTATGCCAGGAATATAATCAGCAACATTTAATATTTCATTTAATAAACCACCATCTTTTATTTGTTTAAGTTGATTATAAGAAAATTCAATTCTTAATCCAGTATTTAATTTTTTATGTTTTTCTAATTTATTCAATTGTCTTTTAGTTAATAATAATACATCATTACCATTTTTAAATTGATCTATTTCAAATTGTATAGTCAAATTTTTATTTTTCTTAAAAGCAGATTTAATTTTAGATTTTTGATAATCAGTTAAATTTACCTTAACTTTCTCCATTTATATAGGTTAAAATTTTAATCCTATTTCTAATCCCATTCCAAATTTTCTTTTTAACCACATAGCACCTGATGTTGGTAAAGCAACTAATCTTTCACCTATATCATGATCACTAGATGTTGCTATATCCCATGCTTTATCTTGTAATATTTTATCAGCAATATCATTTCTAGATTCTGTATCTTTATGATCTCTATAAAATATATCATGTTCTTTAGCAGCTTTATCTAAATCATTTATTCCAGGATCACCTCTTTTTAATCTTTTTTGTAGCTTAGTTCCAGGTCCTAGATATTGAAAACCAGGTACATGCAATTCAAATGGTAAATTATTTATA